TAAGGATCTTATATTTAGAATCGAAAGAGTATATATATATATTAGTTTTTTTTAATGCAATATATCAGCTTTTTCATTAGCGAGTTATGGATGAGTCCTCATATAGCACGGCCCCTGGATTATCATGTGATAAGGGATGGGAGAAAGAAAAATGTCAGGAGGGAAATTAGGGAAATCAATTTTTGCATCACTTACAAGTAAAGCCTTTGAAGACAATCAAACATTCGATCGCCACTCATTTGATCATATCAAAAAGTATTCCATATTGTTGAACGCTGTCTTCTGTTTTTTTTTTTTGGCCATGAGTCTTCTGTTTATTAAAACTAGTCTAAATCTAATACTACTATATTAACAATTCTTTTATTCCCTTCCCATTAATTTTTTTACATTGTCTGTTTATTTTGAACTTTTATACTTATCTATAGTACTCGTCTGGTTCTTAACATAGAATCTAATTGTTGAGTTGATCTTGATCATAAATGTAAGACTTATTCTCATGTTTATCAATTTTCTTTTCTAAATTACCCATGTTGATACTCCTTTAACAATAATAAAATAGGATAGGGATGAAGGATATCAATAAAGATGATTATAGTATTTTAGAAAAAAATATATTATATTTATTAAAATTAACTAACTTACATAACTTTTTAAATCTAATCAAATTAGTTAAATATGTTTTATGTTAAGGACTGGAAGAGTGTTTGTCCAGCTATAAGATTATATTTAATTATTCAAGCATTATTGTGAATTTATAACCTTATTTAAAAAAGTGACCAGCCAATAAGAGTTAGTTCAATTGGTAAGAATTGGGTTATAACTTACAATGTTATCACTTCAAATTACACTGTTGATATAAAGACTTTGTTGGTGAGCAATATATAAATATCTTTGTGCTATTTGAGTCCATGGCCTGATCCTGGTAAGCTCTTAAGATTTAATTTGTTTAAACTTTTTTTACCCAGAAAAAAAGTGATGAGTCCATTTTATTTGACTTAACCACCATTTTATGCTACTAATTTGATACTTTCTGTGTAAATATACGCTCGGAGGAAGCTGCATTTTTTGGCTGCATGAAGGGTTTGATAGCTTTGCCTTTTGTCCCTTGTTTAAACGCAAAAGGAAAGTGTAGTACATAAGGTCTCCATATGCTTTCAAGCATATCAACAGATCAAGGGAAGAAAATTATTATTATTATTTATCATCGTCGTCGTCAATGTTAAGACTGGTAAGAGATAACGTAAAATAATAAATAGTCATTACTCTTGAATATTTTAAAAGGCCAACCCAGGTTTTTTTTTTTTAATGAATTGTGTTGAGTGTGACATGATGGATAACGGATTCAATTCACTCATAAATGTAAGATTTTAATTCATTTTATTACTTATATTTCTTATTTTTTATTAAACTAATTTACCTAATTTATAAATTGGAGTATTTTAGGAAGACAATATTATATTTGCTATAGAGTACTGCGCTTATACTCCTCCGGTCCTTTATATAGTACCTAATTATTGAGTTAGTTTTAGTCTTAAATATAAGACTCATTTTTTTATATTTATTAATTTTCTCTAAATTACTCCTATGGATACTTTCTCAACCATAATTAAATAGAAAAGAGAGGAGTATTAAACAAGATGATTATGGAATTTTAGGAAAAATATGTCACATTTCTTATAATTAACTAACTTACTTATTTTTCTTAATATAATCAAATTAGTTAAATAGGTCTTATATTAAGGACCGGAAGAGTAGTAAGTATCCGATCCGGTATGATTTAAAGTTATTAGATGTGGCATTTTAATTACATTCAATAAAATAATTTAACCTGCGTTCACATGTGGTATTGTATTTTTTTTAGCCAAGGTTTTGTTTTTGCCCAGACATGTGGTATTATTGTAAAGTGTAATTGCAAAAAATTTGTAAATAAGATATTTTCATTAATAATTCATTTATTCCTTGAAATGCAGTGCGGTCTAAAAGTGACAAAAAAAAAAAGAGAGAGAGAAGCGGTTATATATGTAATTTAAGAAGGGATAATTAATCTCCAGGTCCTTATAGTTTCATCTGATTTTTAATTGGGTCCTTATAAAATTTTTTCTTTTTATCAGATCCTTTTACTTTCGTGTGTTTTTAATTAAGTCTTTCTATTTTTTTTTTCTTTTTATCAGGTCCTTATAGTTTCGCTTATTTTTTAATTAGGTGCTTTGTAGTTTTTGAAAAATTATTTATTAACTTTATTCTTTAAAATTAATTTTATTTTTAAATTAATGATTATATAATTGGACAAAATAATTAATATAATCATTTAGTAATTAATAAATAATCAGAATAATAATTATACTTAAATATAAATTATTTATAATCATATTTTAATTTTAGAAAAATTTATTATTATAATTTGAATTTTATAATTATAAAAATTCGAATTGAAAATAAATAATATATTTGTTTAACTAAAAATTTAAAAGAATATTAACATAAGATTTTCACAATAATTTATTATTTTTAAAATGTTATTATTTGTAAAATAAAGAATAAAAACTACAAGGACCTAATTAAAAACAAAGTAAAACAATAAGGACCTGATGAAAAGAAAAAAAATTATAAGGACTTGATTAAAAATATATGAAAGTATAAGGACCTGATAAAAAGAAAAAAAATTATAAAGACCTGATTAAAAACTAATTGAAACTATAAGGACTTATATATTAATTATTTCATTTAAGAATACACTCATTATTCACTGTTTTCTTCCGATCTCCACCAAATATTCACTTTTATAATTACATGCAAAGGATTCCTACGGAGTTTAATTTTGCTGACGTGCAAATTTTTTTCCTAGGTTATACTCCACCCTTCAATCATTTTGTAAGGAATAATAAATAACAAGATCACTAAAATTAAAAATATACTCCTTCCGTTCTTAATATAGGATCTAATTATTAAGTTAATTTTGGTCTCAAATATAAAATCTATTTCTCATATTTATAAATTTTTCTAAATTATCCCTATGAATACTCGCTTAACCATAATCAAGTAAGCGAGGGAGAAAGAATATTAAAAAAAATAATTATGGTATTTTGGGAAAAACATATCATATTTTTTATAATTAACTAACTTATTTAATTTTCTCATTCTAATCAAAGTAGTTAAATATGTTTTATATTACAGACCAGAGTAATTAAAAACAATTAAACCTGTCAAAAATTTATGTAACACATTTAGATTTCTTTTTTTTAAATGACCATATTAAATGTTTGTCGTACGGCTTATTAATTTGATAGCAATTTAATTGTTCTATATATAATCAATGGGCTTATAATGAGAATAATTTAATAAACACACAAGACAAAGGTGAAATATTTCTTATATTTATAAATTAAAAAAAGACTTGCCTTTCCTCCAAGACATTGCAAGTAAATACTTCAGCTTTGATCCTCCAAGACATTCAAGGATATTTTAGGAAAAACAACATATATTTATTATAAATAACTAACTTAACTTATTTCTTTAATCTCCTCAACTTAGTTAACTAGGTCTTATAATTAGGACCGAAGGTAATATTATCATATTCTGTAATAAAACTTATCAATGCTTTTTGGCAATTTTATTATTTTAGATTTTACAGTGATTTTTTCTATTTATTTTAGCATACACACCCCCTGGTTTTGTGTGTCTTTGTGTTTATTAGCCAACGACAGTTGCACACTTTGAAATTGCATAATCGTTCGTCAGCAACCCATAATACCAATAAAATGATATTCCTTCAACAATAACTAAATAGGAGAGTGAGCTAGGGAGAAAATTAAAAAAGATAATTAAGGTGTTTTAAACAAATATATTATACTCCTCTAGCCTTTGAGATAAGACCTAATTGTTGAATTGATTTTGATCCTAAATATAAAAGCTATTTCTCAAATTTATCAAGTTTTTCTAAATTACCCTTGTGGATACTCCCTCAATTATAATCAAGTAGAAGAGGGAAGGAGAATATTAAGAAAAATGATTATGGTGTTTTAGGAAAAACATGTCATATTTTTTTCTAATTAACTAACTTACCTAACTTTCTTAATCTAATCAAATTAGTTAAATATGTTTTATATTAAGAACCGGAGGAGTATTAACTAATTTAAGTAACATTTTTAATTTATTCATATTAGTTAATCAAATCATAATAAGATGCTGCAATTAAAAAATCATTAACAAAAATTACTAATGTATGATTGAAGCTTAACTGTTAATATCATGACATGATTGATGAAAACTAAGGGGTGTTTGGATGAAAACCAAACTATAGTTTCAGAAGTGTTTTTACGGTTTACGAAGTAAATATATAAAGGAATTTGTCTCGTTTTGCGAAAAAGTGTTTATGAGAAGCACTTTTGAGGGTTGCCTTAAAGGATGTTTGGATGAGACCGAACCATGGTTTGTAGAATAACTTCTGAAGAATAGATTTTGAAGAAAATAGATTTTGAAAGAATAAATTTTTTGAAAAAGTGATTATGATAAAGTGAGAGTGTGATAATTGTTGTCAGAAGTGCTTTTTGATATGTAGAAATTACTAAAAAAGACATAAGTTTAAATGATAATTACATATAAGATATATTTCATAATATATGTTTATTTGAAGCAATAAATTTGTTAATAATATATATTCTGGCAACATAATAAATAAGACATAAATAATATAAATAATAAAAAGTTAATGTGTATATATATTAATAAAGTAATTAAATATGTTTTTAGAAAAATGATTTATTTTGCCAAAAAAATATTATTATTTCTTAAAGATTTTAAAGATGAAATCCCATAATTTTTTTCACAAAATTAAATAACCACACAAAAAAATTACATATTAATTGTCTTAATAATAGAGGTTGCAAATAAATATATTTGTTCAAGTAGTTTTTTTTTTTTAACAACACATTACATTATCTGAAAAGAAAAAAAGAAATAAAAAGGACATGACTATTCTTGTATATAGTGAACAATTTGACTTTTACTTTAACTAAATTTTACAAAAGTCAAATAGAATAAAAATCAGTTTTGTTACCGCTAATCTAAATACACCTTACAAAATTTGGCTTTTGCTCCAACCTAACTTTTTCTCAAAAGCCCATTTGCTCAAAAGTTAATCCAAACAATATCTCACCCTTAAATAAGCCACCAACTGAAGTTTCACTCTCCCAATGCTCATTTTCCCTTTCTAGCAGCATTCCAAGCATGCCTCAAACCAGTTTTTAAGAATGGATGAAATATCGAACCTATTCTTTTACATATTTATCAAAATATTTTTTAAGATAGTCCACATATAGATAGCAAAGATATAGATATTAAATAAAAGAATCTATTGGCCTATGATTCATTAGGCTTCTCCATCCCTTTTCTCCCCGGTGGCTTGCTTAAATATTCGATCATGTTTTGTGGTTTCAATTTTTTTAATTAAAAAAAAACTCATGGTTGAAATAAACCAGCTGCAAGCCGCGCAATGATTCGAGTGGCATCAAAGGCGTTCTTGTGATATTAAAAAATGCAATGCAATCTACGCTTTATAAAATTATATCTATAACTTATTAATTTTTTTATCTAATTTATTAGTTATACTACGGCTTATTGTTCTACCAAAACAAATACTATAATTACAATTATAATCGTCACTTCTTTTTACCAATAAAACTATAAGCATGCTTTATATTTTATAAATTATAATTAAAAATTACTCTTCTGATCTTAAATATAAGATTCTTATACATATAAAATTTTTATACCTACTAATATAAAAATTTTATATTTAAAAGTGGAGGAGGATTATTGTAAATAGAATCATAACATTCCTGGTCAAAAAAAATAGAATCATAACATGCTTTGCTTTTGTGTGTGGCCAAAAGTAGCACTCCCACTTCGTAAAATATTGATGTGACTTTGTTACTTTATGGCCATATAAAAATAAAATATTGATATGATTCCCATGCCGCCAATCAAAATGTCCACACGAAACGCAAAGAGCAGGAGTGGGAAAAAATGTCTTAAAAATATATGATCAAATTTAACTTTTCATCCTGACCGAAGAAGAGAGAGAGAGGGTTTGAATTGGTGAAGGGGGCCACAGCTTCATCCACAGCCACAGCTGGTCGCGGAGAGGGAAGAACCCTAATCTCTCCCTTTCTCTCCGGCTCGCTGATCAGACTCAGAGCAGAAGATTCAGTCTGTGGGAAGATGAGTAGTCAAATTCCTCATCCTGGTTCCAGAAGGAGCAGTTCGAGCCAGAAGCGTCCACCATCTACGGCTTCTAGGAAGTCTGTGCCGCTTGAAAATGGAAGCAATGGAAATGGCACTGCCACCAAACCCTCTTCTCCGCCTCCGCAACCGTAGGTTTCTGAGCTTCTATTATCAATTCTTCATTAATGTTCTTGTTCTGTTACAATCTTTATAATTCTTCAGTATGGTGGATGTATATGTTGTGAGGCTTGGGCTGGTCTTTTTTTTGGAACAATATACTCATTGATTACGCGGGACTGGTGAACTTCTCTATTAACTGATGCAATTCAAGAGCGATGCCATTGCCCTGCTCCGGTTTGCCCGCAGAAGGGACTGACTTCATATACTGCTGATAGGGCTATTGTTGTATTGGTTTTCTTGTATAATTTGGGTTTATTGATGAAATTTTTTAGGGCTACTGGGGGCGAAAGGACTGTGAAGAAACTTCGGTTGTCAAAAGCACTAACAATTCCTGAAGGGACGACAGTCTCTGAAGCATGTAGAAGAATGGCAGCTCGCCGAGTTGATGCTGTTTTGTTAACTGACTCCAATGCGTTGCTTTCAGGAATTATTACTGATAAGGTTTAGAGGACCTACTAATGTCTGCCTCTTGCTCTGTCCATTGAGATTAGTGCTCGTAAGCATTTTCCTTATGAAATATGTCAAGTTTGTGGTTCTTTTGGCCAGGATATTGCTGCTAGAGTCATTGCTGAGGGGTTACGACCAGAGCAGACAATAGTGTCAAAGATAATGACCCGGAATCCCATATTTGTCACTTCGGATTCACTAGCTCTTGAAGCCCTTCAGAAGATGGTTCAGGGTTAGCTTCATTTTACTGTTACCTTTTGTTATTATGTATATGGTTAATTGCATGAAAATCGTGCATAAATAAAGGGATTGTGGCAGTAGTGATGATAATTGGAGATAAAGACTTTGCTGGCAAATTCCTAGGTCTGTCATGGCCCAAGTTTTGGCAGTAAAGTATCTTTAATTGTTTCTCACATTAGGCGTTGGCATTGCGATGAGAAATTTACTTAACAAGGACTTTGTAGGTGATTTTATTGTCGTATCTTTTGACTCAAAATTGTTCAGTCCTGTTCCTTTACTTTTAGACTTTCCTATTTGTTCATGAAGTCCATGGCCTGTTGTCCTCTCTGCTTCTTGTTATTTTTCATCCTCTCAATGGGCCCAAGATGATCTCAATTGAAGTTATGGCATTTATTCTTCTCAGAGGACAATATAATATTTAATGACCATGTTACTGCACAGTTAGGGCTCATTTCTTTCTGTAAAAGGATTCTTTCTTTGCTCTATTATTTCTTTTTCTTTACTTGGTTTATGTTGCAAGAATTGAGTCAATGTTTATGTCTTGTTGATTCTCTTGATGTTTAAATTTTAAATCAATAAAGATATGAACGATAAAGTGATTCTTTACTTGAGATACAATTAACTTTTTTGCCCCAACTAATAGGTAGATTCAGGCATCTACCTGTTGTGGAAAATGGTGAAGTCATTGCCTTGCTGGATATTACCAAATGCCTATATGATGCCATATCTAGGATGGAGAAGGCTGCTGAGCAGGGTAGTGCCATTGCTGCTGCAGTTGAAGGGGTGGAAAGGCAGAAAGGAGGAGGTTTATCTGGTTGGTTAATGGTTGTTTTATTTATATACACATCTTACGGGACTGATTGTATGTAATCTGTGAACTTCCTTTATCTGTATATGGGGTCTATGAAAGCATTAAATGTTTATAACTGCCACTGTTGAATTGAGGGGCTGATGTCAGAGTTTTGCGTGGGAAAGGTTTTTCTTAATCTTTCTGGCAACAAAGTTAGACATAGGAGCCAGTAGTAAATAAATACTTGAATTAGCCTGTAAAGAGGGGTGGAAATCTCTTTTTTTTTGCTTGCATTTTTTTCTGTGCAATTGATTCTAGTCAAATTTCAAATAAATTAAAGATATGGGTTAATGGGTTATGTATTCTTGATATATGATAGTCAAGATGAATGTGAAATTCCAATGCTTTTCCTGAACTCCTGTGTACTTTTCTTATTGCTTTTTGCGACTAAAATTCACTTTTTATATTGTAAATGGGTTTCTGTTGATTTTAGGTGCGTGGTTTTTGGGTGTTCATTTTGCTCGTCTGCATCCTATTTCAACCATTTTCTAGTATTTGTTTTACCGGCATGTTTACTTCCTTAAAAGTTAAAACTGAAAAAGGAATATTTTGACTGCTCCATTATATGCTTTAACTTGAGGGGTTGTTAGAATATAGCGTTAGGTTGCCTTTTAGTCTGTTTGCTTAGAGTTGTATCTCATACTATATTGCCTTTCCTCTACTATAAATGTTTTTAACAGAAGCATCTCTTACTATCAAAGCTTTCCACAACATCGTCTCTCTAGTCTTTATGGTTGTTGCCTCACATTCTACCAATTTTTTGTGTATTTAGAAGTGTTGAAAATTTGCCAACATTGTTTTATTGGTTCAAAAATGATGAGATCAGAATGAAGTTTACATCTGTTGGTATCATCTTTTATGTTGGAATGATGCTAATGCTCTGTTTTGATTTTAATCTTAACCAGCTTCAAATGCTTTCATAGAAACATTGAGGGAGCGCATGTTCAAGCCTTCACTGTCAACTATTATTGGTGACCATACAAAGTAATTTCCACATCGTATTTATCCTTTCTTTTATGTGTTTTGCCAAGCTATGCCTTACCAAGTTTTATAGCTTTATGTATTTTCAGGGTTGCTATTTCATCAGCATCAGATCCTGTCTATGTAGCTGCTAAAAAGATGCGGGATTTGCGTGTTAATTCAACTGTTATTGTTGCAGGAAACAAGATTCATGGGATACTAACGTAATCATGAACATTTTCCTTCTGAATTTCTTAATTCTGAATAACATTCCTGACCGCATGTTTTTAAGGCTAGAAATCTCCTTGTAAGATAAGCGATTGTGAACTGGAGTTTGGGCTTCTTGTATAATATATTTTTACGTAAATACTTCATGCAGTTCAAAGGATATCCTTATGCGGGTTGTGGCTCAAAATCTATCTCCTGAGTTGACTCTAGTGGAAAAGGTCTTTTCTCAATTTTTATCCTTCTATGAAGCAACTTTAGTTGATTAAAGATTTATTCTGAGATAATTTCTATCATACTGGCTCTGATTTCTGCAGTTTTCTTCTTTCCTTTTCCTTTCCCTTACTCTATATCTCATTCTATCAGGTAATGACTCCAAACCCAGAATGTGCATCATTGGAGACAACAATTCTCGATGCACTGCATACGATGCATGATGGAAAGTTCTTACATCTTCCTGTGGTGGACAGAGGTGAGCTTTGCTTTATTCGTGTCATAGGCTGTTTTTCATGTTGTAGGTATTACTTATCATTTGTGATATCATTTGTGGTGCAGATGGATATGTCGCAGCTTGTGTGGATGTTTTGCATATAACTCATGCTGCAATTTCAATGGTAACTTTTGTTTAAAGTATCTGTAAATAATAACAGATAGAGTACGGGAAATGAATTTGTTTTACAGTCAATATAAAAGATAGCATCTGGCATGAGTTGCTCGAGAGTTTGTATGCCTGCCTCTTACTGGGGGCTGCGCATTGCTGAAGGAGGAACTCTCTTCATCTGGCGTCGATGTGCCTTTCAAAGTGTTTTTAGGAACTCTTTTAATGGGCATTCTTGCAATATCTTATATTACTGCCTGGCCAGAGAATATTTGGTGTATTCTGTTGCAATTAGATGTAGGCCCTGTGTAACACAGTCTGAGAAATGAGTTGTATCATGTGGCAAGCTATAGATTTTGTGTATTGAATATTGAATATTGAATATTGATGCTTGATACTTATACACGTGAAGTTATCTTATCACCTATTCTGTATGGCTTTATAGGTGGAAAGTAGCTCTGGAGCTGTCAATGATGTGGCAAACACAATAATGCAAACATTTTGGGACTCTGCACTCGCTTTAGACCCACCGGATGATTATGACACTCATAGGTACCCTGTGGTACTGTAAATGCTGTTCTGATATGAGATATGGTTTGTTCTTTAAAGCAACATGTCATATGTTTCAATGCAGTGATGTCTCTGGGTTCATGGCTTCAGAAGCAGCAGAGACTGCAAAGTCAACATATCCATCTGTTGGCTTTGGGAATTCCTTTGTCTTTAAATTTGAGGACCCGAAGGGCCGTGTACATCGATTAAGCTGTGGTGAGTGACTATTTTGCTTGAAGAAAGCATAACAAGAGCTTGGGGACTAAGAAGTTTTGTTTTCTTCAATGAATATTTCCAGTCAACGTCCTCTTGGATTGATATGTGGATCCTATTCATGTAATTCTGTAACTTTGTTCCCGCTCCCTTTGATTTGTGTGTTCATCTGTTTTCAGGGGCTGAACACCTAGAGGAACTTGTGTCTGTTATCATGCAAAGACTTGGTAATGTTAACGATGGAGAACGTCCTCTGATTATGGTGTGTAATGCATATTTAATTTCCTCTTCTTCTTTTTTTTTTGGTGGTATATGCATTGATTATGGTATCCTTTTATTTTCTGGGTGTCTAGTATGAGGATGATGAAGGTGATAAAATTCTTCTTGAAACTGATGGTGATTTCATTGCTGCCGTTAACTATGCTAGATCTATTGGAGTGAAGGTAATGATGTGGCTGCTTTTGTTAGCTCTTTCATTTAGTGATTAGCCTTCTGTGAATTGATTATTGAGGTAATCTTGTAACAGGCACTAAGGTTGCATCTGGAGTTTGCCGATTCCAATAAATCAAAAACACCGGAATCTGCTACTGCTACATTACAAAAGAGCAATGGATTGTCTATAAGCTCGGGTATTCTCGCGGGTGCTGTTGTTCTAACAGGCATTGGCGTGTTGGTCTACTTGAAGCGCTCCAAGCAATGATCAGTTGCTAGTTTCAGAAGCGATACATGCCATGGGTATGAATTCAAGAGCACTGTGGGATTCAATTTAATTAAAATGATATACACCGAAATAGTAGGCTTTTTTCTTTTTTGGGCTATATTAAATTAAACACCATGGTTAAAGCTGTGGGAGAAACCGAGGTAGTGAAGAGATGTACTCTTCTCTCGTCTTTTTATCTTTTTGGATGTAGTTGCAATCAGTAACCCTATCTCAATGTAAAGATAAAATCTTGGCATTTAATTTAATACTTGCAAATGTCAAGCCTTTATGCATGACTGACATGATTTTGTGTCCTGAAATATCCATTGCCATGTTATGCCGCTGGTTCCTGTTTGGGAAAATTAATCATTCAAGTTAGACTCAATCTACATTTACATGTTCAAAATTTTAGTTCCTAATGTCAACGAGTAATTTGATGTGGCACAAAAGGTCCTTAACAGAGTCAAATTGCTGCATCTCAGGCCTATGTCAAGCTCCCCATCATGTATTATTTAAAAAGAAACAAATAGAACACTGAAGGTCACGGACAAGGAGGGAAAAAAACTAGATTAGGGCCCTCTGTGCTCTGTTGTTCATTCGGTTTTGGGTTTAATCGTTGTTTTTGTCCGCTACAGCAGGTATGAAGGAAGGCGAGTCTGCAGATTGTGTTGCTAGGGCATCAATTTTGTAATCAGGTGTTTTTGTCATGATTGCTAGGGCATTAATTTTGTAATCAGGTATATTTGTCATGACTAACTTATTTTGCTTCTAGTTTAAAAAATTGATGTATTTATTTTTAATACTAATGAATTTGTAAAAGTGTGTGTTGATTTATTTTTGAAAGAAAAAAAAAAAATTTCTCTTAATCATTTGCTTGTCTTAGAACTACTTAATAAAAATTTCTTTTAATATGTAAAATCACGAAGTATAGTTTAAGAAAAATATTACAAATTTAAATAATAAGATAAATTAATATTTTAGATTTATAATTAAAATAAATCTCTTTACTCTCTCCTATGTCACGGGCACAAGTTCTTAAATTTTTTCCCTGGCCAAATACAAATTTAAGTTTCTTTCTGGGTTAATATAATTTGTCTCCTTAAATTTGTTTTTATTTTGGTTTTGGTTCTTTAACTTTTAAACCATAAGTTTTGGTCTCTTAAATTTCTTGTCATTAAAAAATTTGTTCTTATAATTTAATAAAAATTTTGACTATTTTGTCCTTTAAGAGCCAAAACTTAGTTTGAAATTTAAGGGATTCAAACCAAATTAGGACAAATTTAAATGATTAAAAATTATATTAACCCTTTCTTTGTTAACTAAGCTATGGAAAAGGTTCACAATAAAGAGATAAGACTGGTGTTATTCATTAAGCAAGTTATTGAACAAAAGATTGGCCAAAAAAAAGAGTTATTGAACAAAAGGAAAATTAAAAGAACTTAGATGAAATGATATTTATTGAAGAAGATCTAAAAAAAAATTCAAATATTAAAGTATAAATTTGAAAATATTAACTTGTTCTCAAACAAATATACTACATTCAATTTTTATTTTTATTTTTATTTTTTTTATAAAAAGGCTAAATGAAAATTAAAACCGTCCGTCTTTGCATGACCATGTTCTGCGCGTTTTAGAACCAAAATCTATATGCATATAATCAATATATCACCGTTTAATTATTAGTTTTGGTATTTATCTATTTATATCATTATTCATTGAGTTTTTTTTGCCTGATTTATCCATCATCAACATTGATATTAATTAAACACTTTTTAATCAATTTAAAAAATTAAACTCATTTCATATTTCATCATGCTAGTTACCTAAACTCAAATGAAAAAAATAAATAAATATTACCTGTCAAAAAGTTTCAACAGGATATTGCTACCAGCTTGGTTTTGAAGGGGTAGGAATGAGCTTGGCGAGTTGCTGTTTTGAAACGAGATTGGCAACTTGGCATAATTGAAATAAAAAAAGTAGAAAATATCTCCACTTCCTTCCCTCTTTTCTCTAATCGAATAGTAGATTCGGCAATTTCATGTATCATTCTATTCCTCTATACACTACACTTTGTCTTCACCCCCCAAACCAGCGCCATGCATGACAGCTTCATTATTTGCATTTGACAACCATAGAATTAATATCCCAATTCATCTGTATAGTTTTTTCTCCTTCATTCCCAAGTCATAGGCACCGCCATTATCTGAAGTAGTAGAATGACACTCTGTTCAAGTCTAAAATTAGACATAACATAGAGAAATAAGAAAAATTTAGACCAATTGTGAAGTCTGTATCACCAATTGATTAGTGTTGTTATTGGAGATTGTGTAGTCAAGAGGAAAATGCTAGTTTTACAAATTCAGGAGAAGTTAAATATCATTATGGTATCAGAACCTGATATTATACTTTCTTACATGTTTAAAATTTTTTTTTGCCTTTGCCAAACACACCTTTCTCCTTTAGAATCTTTATAACCACCGCTGCTTGCCTCCATTAAGATGTAGCCATATTTATTTAATATTTTAATAGTTTTCATTTTTAGAATTATTTAGTTTTTTATCTTTTATTTATTATTTTTAGGATATTAGCTATTATTATTACTATTTATTAGTTCCTAGGATTTACAATTAGGGACTTAGGGTAGATTTTGGTTTAACTGAATTACTCATATAACAGTTTTCCACAATTCTCCTTCCCATCTATTTGTTTTTTTTTTTTTATCGATCTCTTCTCCTTTCTCTTTTTGAAAGAGAAAGGCGTGTTTACCAAACACACAGAATTTTTAGCAGGTAAGAAAGCATAATATCATGCTTTGATACCACAATGATAATAAACTTCATGAATCCGTAAAACTAGCATGTTCTCCTTAACTACACAGTCTCCATCAACATCACTGATCAACTAGCGACACTCAAAGTACTAAAAACTGGACTAGTAATTGAATCGGTCAAAACAATAGATAAAGGATTAGTGGGTTAGACCAGAGTCAAACCAGGGGTCAAACCGGTGAGAAATAAAAAATAAAAAATAATTTAAAATTTCACTAAGAACTAGATATCAATTTAATATCTTGAATCACTAGTAAAATAATCACATCCTTACAATTTCTTATAATATCATACTACTAAAATCACTAAATATTCAACCCATCAAAATAGATATATGATAACAAAATATTCCTCCCTATAATTATTTAATCACTAAGTCCTAATTATCAACAACTGTTTAAAAAAATCATCAAAAAAATTTTTTTTTTCAAAAGGGGGACTTGGGTTAACCCACCAAACCGGGTGGGTTACCCGAGTCGTTACCAGGTCACACCGGGTCAAAGTGACCCTGATTCATAGGCTCAATCGGACCAATTTTCTGGCCGGTTTGTCGATTTTCGGTTCGGTTTTCCATACCATGGCAACGTCATAATTGGACTAAAGTTTTCTTATTCCTTTATGTTATGTCTAATTTTAGACTTGAATAGAGTATCATTTTGCTGTAGTTTTCATTTTTAGGATTATTTAGTTTTATCTTTTATTTATTATTTTCAGGATATTAGTTATTATTATTACTATTTATTAGTTCCTAGGATTTACAGTTGGGGACTTGGGATACATTTTGGATATTGATTGAATTACTCAGATTGCGGTTTCTCTTAATTCTCCCTCCCCATCTATCTGCCTTCTTTAATTACTCAGATTGCGGTTTCTCTTAATTCTCCTTCCCCATCTATCTGCCTTCTTTAATCGATCTCCTCTCCTTTATCTCTTCTGATATTTATCTCATCCCGTTTGTTATTTTTGTTTTACATCAATATGGTGGAATATGAATAACAATGCAATAATATTTATTTAATATTTTAATAGTTTTCATTTTTAGGATTATTTAATTTTATATTTTATTTATTATTTTCAGAATATTAGTTATTATTATTACTAATGATGAGTTTATGGAATTTATTGTTAGGATAGGTTTTGGCTGCCCATTAAATTGTTCAGAATACAGTTTTTGTTCTTCTTTTCACGCTTGCCAAACACGCCTTTTTCCTTCAAAACCTTCATAGTCATGAGGAATTCTTACATTCACTGGTAGTGCCATGTAACTTATGCTCTGACAAATAGAAATCTTCCAAATCACATGGCGGGACCCATACTTATTGTAGGCTTTTGTATTAGTATATCCCTTTTTTCTTCTGCACGCGCTCTCTCTTTTGACTCTCAACTCTCCCTCTTTTTTTTTTTGATTTAATTGTCTCCCTCTCCCTAATAAAAGTTTTATCTGTCTATTTTATTTTCGCATGCCCTCACACGTTCTCCCTCCGTCCCTCTCTTTATCTCTTCATTTTTAATTTTATTTAATCTCTCATTTAAATAATAGTGTTGCTTTTGCAAATCAAAAGTTCTAGAATACTTATATAAAAATTTAAATTTTAAAATATTTTGGATACATAATTCATACTACCTCTGGTCTTTTTTGTTTGATTTTTATTTTGTTCCTAAATATAAGACTCTAATTTACTTTATTTTTCATATTTATTTATTTTTTCTAAGGTAGTTATTGTAATAATGATAATTCTAGTTGATATAATTGATTAGTAATGATATTTTAAGAAAGACAATACATATTTATTATAAATAATAACTTAACTAGTTTTTTTAATCTACTCAAATTAGTTAACTAATTCTTATATTAAGGACTGGGGTAATGTTTTACAACTAGCCTTTAAATTCTTTCTCAACTTTTTAAAATTCCCTTCTTTTTGATGGGTTAATTCATGTTGACATGTGAAATTATGGGCAGACTTTGATAAAGAGAATCAAACTAAATAAAATATCTAGTTAGGTCTTTCTTTATCTTCAATGACATACAATTGCTTATAATAAGTTGTGTTTATACAAGTATTTTTGTTTTTCTTCATTTTTTATGAGATTACTGGCGCATTGATGTTTTAATTTTAAAAAAAAAGTAATCTTTCTTGTGGTAAAAAAGTGCATTTTCAAACCTGTCTTGCAGCTTCATTGATATTTACGAGTGATAGCTTATGTTTATAAAAGTATTTTATTTTTTCTTATTTTTTGATTAAATTGCTGAAACAGTTATATTTTGATGAAAATGGAAACCTTCTTCATTTCAATGTTTTAGTAATGCTACTTTATAATTCCAGTTGAAGCTTAAAACGTAGTGCTGTTACTTAAATTATAGAGTAAATAAAATTAAAAATGAAGAGAGAATGTGAGTGTATGCAAAAATAAGATGTAGAGATAAAACTTAAAGTGAGTAGAAGAAGTTTTATTAGAAAAAGAGAGAGAATTAAATATGAAAAAAAGACTGGAAAGTTGAGAGGCAGAAAAAAGAGAGCACGTGCAAGAAAAAAAAAATATATGTGTGTGTGTAAGCCTGCAACAAGTATGGGTCCCACCGTATGATTTGGAGAATTTTTATTTGTCAGAGCAAGTTATGTGGTACTCCAAGTACATGTAAGAATTCCTCCCATAACCATAACCACCCCGTTAACCGCCTTCTCTGCATCTAACGGCCACCCGGCCTCCACACGCGCTCTTCATTTATCACAATACACATATTCAGTCTAGCCACCATCGTCCTCCATTCACCCTCCTCCCTGTGTCTCTTGTCTCACCGCCACACCCATCAGAACCGCCGCAAGGAAGGCGGCCAATCCCACTGTTCGGAAAGCCACGCGCCGTTGAAAGCACCTGCGTGTGGATTCACGTACCCCTCCATCACTGTTGTACAGATTACAGAAGGCGTTTTTTGAAGACTTGGATATTGAATTTACAGGCGGTATTTCCCTTTTCTCTAATCTCATCCCTTCCCCTTTCTCTTGTTCGTTTTATATCACGTTGCTTTTAACTTTCGTAATGATAAAGAAAAACGAGGGTACTATCATGGGTAATTTGCTTAGCGTTGTGTCTTTGCTTAAATAACAGGAAGAGAGGGTCACGGTCAATGTTAGATAAGGTTTTTGATGTAGTGTTACTGTTTGTATGATTTATTGAATATAAGTAAACCTGTTATTCCCCATAATTCTGTGTCATACTAGACTTTAAAGACTGTTCTACTTACGACAGTATCAGGCGTCTTAATGAAGAAAGATGGAACTTGAGGAAGCAGAAAATAATCTCCGTGCTATGAGACTGTTGTATAGGCGCCTAGAACATAATAGCCTTGGCCTTCAGAATACAACTTCAGAGGATGTAAGTGTTCTTTTCCTTTAGTGAGCTTTTCCCGGAGATTTTTAATTATGCCTCCTTTCAAAGTACATTTCCTTGCGCTTGCTAACTCCTCCATTTACACATACTAGATAGAATGCCAATTGATTATAAATTCTTATTTTCACAATGTGCTTCATTTTATGGGAGAGATTTGATAGGAAAACTCGATCAAAGTGATGTGTTTCCTGACTTTGTTTTCCTCTATGAATCTCTTGGGGCTCATTTATCTGGTTTGTTTGGCCATTACGTCACTACTGTCTGCGTATGATAATTTCTTGGGGTTGATTTCTTTCTATCTTTTACAATAGTGTTTGAGTGCTCTAAAACTAAATTCTGCGTGACAGTTTATGAGAGCTTAAAGTATGCTATGCTATTCTTCTATTAAAGCACAGCTGGATTCTGTATTAAAATTTATTGCTTATTAAAGCACTTTAAGGACCAGCTCCTTCAATATTCTATTCTTTTGTCTTTGGGCAGTTGGTAGAGAGAGCTCAAGAATTACTGAAAAATATGCTGGAAGTAGCATCTGAAAGGGTTTTCGAGACTATTTTAAAGGTTCAGACGGATCATCATCTTTTATTTGCAGAAAAGATCTTTCGCTACTCTTTTCATGTTTTCTTTTATTATCCCTTCAAAAAAGGAGGCACATTTTCTTTTTGGTGATAAGGAAACAACTTGTTCTATAGTAATTTCACTTGCACGAACCTGAACATAAAGGCAGGATGCGGGAATACGAATAGCAGTTCTATTGTTTGATTTATTTTTCTCTGTGCTCACTTGACAGATCATAGCAACAGAAACTGGTATCTCCAAGACACCCTTCACTTCTCAACCTGTGGCTGATCTCCAGTTAAGGCCTTTGTTGGCAGCCAACAGTTCTCACTGCTCTCTAAAATATCCAACACGCGGTAGATTTCCTTCGCAAAAGGATGAACAACCCCAATCAAAGTCACCAGCAAAGAAAGCAGGTCCAAGACTATGTAAGCGTAGCATCTCTGATAAAGGAAAAGCAATGAGAAAAGCACTCTTTAATGATGGTGAAGAAAGCAGTATAATGCAGCAGAACTTAGTAAAGGCAGCAAATCTATTTAACAAGAAGCCCATTAATCCTATTAAAGAGAGCAGTCATCATGAACAGAAGTACAGTGTGAGCACTTTTCGCGAGGGTGAACACTCAAAATCTGGTGAGCTTAGAGAAGTCAGTGAAACATCATTACCATATAGAGTTTCTGAAATTGAAAGCAATCCAAGTACTTCTAGCAGGCTTGAAGCTCAGGATGAGGAGGGAGACATCTCTAGTGACTTGTTTAATGCAATAAAAAGAATTGAATCTCGTATATTGGCTTTGCAGCTTTACTCAAGTTTAGTATATTCCAAAAAGAATGGTGCAGCTGACAAGATTATGCATAAAATAACAAATTCAGAGAGCCATAAAAGACAGAAAAATGAAGGAATACCAGGAAACCGGCCTTGTTATCGAAGGTTGCTGTTAGAAGGAAATGGATTAATGAGTCAGCAGGCGCATAAACTAGCTAGTAAGTGTGAAGATTCAACCACAGCAAATGTCGAGCCCATCTTCTCCAGAAACAAGTCACTGAGTAAGGTAGAAAATCAGATTTTTGACCCAGAAAAGGAGAACAGCATCTCAGCATGGAGAAGCCGCCAAAAAGGTGAGGCATGCAGAGCTACCCTGTTGGCTTCAAGAGGAGAGAAGTTGCTAAGCCAGAATGGACGTCGACCTCCAGTGCAGAGCATGGCCATAGTAGACAGATTTCAGTCATTAAATTGGTCAGTGAGTGGGAATGACCACTTGGTGAATCATGCTAATGAGTGTATACAGGGGATTAGGATTCCTCTGAATTCCATAACAGCAGGTTCACCAAATAAAGACAAGCCAACGAGAAGAAACCCAGTGGCTCAGTCAGAGACTCACAGGAGAGAGAAACAGCCCCTTCATCCTATGGTACCAAGACGAGCTCTACCTCACTGGAGATCCAGTGAGTCTAAAATGCCCGCTCATGGTTACAGAGACAGAAAAGTTTCAGAGAATAGAGGGGCTCACAAGATGAGGGCTTCATCACCACATCATCCGGAATCATCAGAAGAGTTCAGTTCAAGCTCCTGCTCTCGTGCTCGCTTGACATCTAATCAAAGCAGTGCCATATATAGTAGTGAATCTGAGGACATTGGTGATTCGCCAGGAGATATGGTCAGCAAGACATATGAGGATAGCTCAAGAGAGAATAGTGATTCAGATTATCAAAATGATGCTGGCTCTTCACATAGAACGGAAAGTTCCAGTTCTGGCAGATCTTGGCATAGGAGAGGACCTGAGAAAACAATTGGACGCTTGAGGAGGCTGAAAAATAAGCTTAGACTTATCTTTCACCATCACCACCATCTTCACCATCATCACCATCACGATGAAGATGATAATAAAACAAGTAAGGCGGATCACAATCATTCTATATGGCAGAGGATCTTCCATGGCAAAAACAAGCACAAGTTGCTAGCAAGAGGAAAATCTGAGAAGACAAGGGGAGGCACCATTGTTAAAGTGTCACGTGGAAAACAGGTTGGGCAGTTTCATGGACTTGTGGAGGGGATTCTGAGACACGTCAGACATTCTAAGAAACGAAAGCCTTCTAAGTTTGTTAGGATCAAAGGGTCAAGGAATCCCAAACTTGGCAATAGGAAGAAGTTGCATTGGTGGCAGATGCTTCGACATCACCGGGGGGTGAGGGTGAACAAGGGAGGCCGTCTCAGAGTGGGGTTCAAAAGCCAAAAATGGCTCAAGAACTAAGCAAAGCTAGTGAAAAGCATGCAGCACGATTTCCATGGTTAATCCAGAAAATTTGACGAGATGGCATGCAAAAAGTTCCACTTCTGGTGTAATAGAATGTTTCTGCTTGCCTAATCTTAATTATTATTCTTCATTGCTTCATTATCTCTTGCCCATTTTTGCAATCAAACTCGGCTTTTTAGTTCACCTGATCATTCTATGCGAAGAATATGATTCAGAAAGAGACTGCAAATATCAATAATAGTCATTTCTCTTTATTTGTGAACAGGGGCCGAATTCTGACTACCCCATCTTTAAGCAGGGGAAGCAGCAACCCTCAAAATGTACTCCACAATCCACAATAGGAAACTAATTTTCGACAAACTTTTCCTGTGTTAAATTTGTCTATATTGGCAGCAAGCATTCGCTTTCTGTTCATGCTTACAATTATAACCCCAGTATTAGACCTACTCATCGTATGAGATCGATTACAAAACATCTAAAATGCTTTCTTTTTAGTGTAGCTGTTAAGTAAACTGGTACTACAGTAAAGAATTTGATTTTTCTATTTGATAAATTTTCCCTGGTTAAATTTATGTTAAAAATTCTTATTAGAGTTTGTAATAAAATACTAAAACGATCAATCAAAGATTAATAAGTTGTTTGTTAGCTAATGAAATGAAACAAAAAAAAAATTTCGTCTTCTTTTGTTAAAGTAAGAAATATCGCCTTTTTCATAAGAAATATCATCTTTCTTTTACTTAAAAAGTAAAAAAAAGTGACATAAATTAAAAACAACGACAACAAAATGATAACTATTGTAAAAAATTACGGTCATAGATTTGTTCTCCGTCACTCGACCAAAAGAGACATGAATTTTTCCTTCAAATTTGATAACAAAACCTTACAATACCTAACAATGACAAACTTCTCTCTTTTGCTTTTTGTTAAAATCTTTTTCTTTCGATCTACTTGGGCCAAGACCGGCCCACAGTGAGCACGCTCTGCTGGTGCCTTCGTTTTGTTACCGTTATCGACGGATGGCTTCTTGTTCCCTTGCGAAGTTTCCATTATAAAATGGAAGCGTCTCGGGACTGAACTAACCCAACTCACATACACAAACGATGATCGCTTCCGGCGATATGCTCGAGGGATGTCAAGGACTTCACTTGTCTTCCTACATCAGAGATGTCAATTACAGGTTTCTCTCTCTCTAACTCTCCTGTATATGTATTTGGAATTGCACTTATAGCATAAAAGAACTCTTGATTTCAGAGCTTTGCCGCTATTACTGTCAAATTCAAACAGAAATTTCTAATCTGAGCTGCTTCTAATGGATGGGGTTCTTGCAGTTTCTGAAAGGGTTTCGTTTCTCAAATATTGAACCTATTAACAATAATATAATCATCGAAAATTTACTGTGAAGCTGAAACTAGAAAGTTGTGATGCGAGCTGATTGTTTCTGATTGATGATGCAGCTGCGGCTCGTGCGGATATCAGCTGAACTTGAACTCCTGCAATCGCAACACTTCTGCCATTGATACCAGGTATGAGAAATCGATCAAGCGAGGTCTAATCTCCTTCTTCTCTGTGGACGAGAGCAGATTCAGTATGGTCGAACAGCTTCGATGGGTACCTTTCTTTAATTCAAAGAGGTCCTGGGGTTTGTTTCAGCGAAGAACCAAGCTTCTTTGTCGCAAGTGCGGGAATCACATTGGTTATGCTTGTTCTTTGCCCTTTGAGTCCTGGGATGGCTTCTCCGACTCGAGAGTCTATGATATCAAATTAAGCGCCCTGCAACCTTCTTTCTATCAAGATCCAGGCACCTTCACATCATCGGATTCAAAAACGGAGAGATAGAGGTATGGCCGTGAAGTCTAAACACTCATATACACCTACTTTTTGAAAAACTTCCAAACTGTTTGTTTATTATGCGTATAATTAAGTGTATCATTACTGGCCAAAAACGGATTAGCTGTATCGTTGTTCTGTTTCCTAGGCTGTTTTGATGGAGCTGAGAATGTGGGGTATTGTATGGCAATTTTCCTTGTTACGACGGGAAACCATCTGTATTAAAATTTTGTGAAACTTAAAAATATAATTTCTCATTCGAATGAATGGATCTGGATCCTCTGCAGTCAAAGTTTTGAATGCAGAGGATGTAGTGACTTATTTTCCATTTAAAATCAAATTTTTTATAATTTAAATTGTTATACTACTCCAGCTCTTAATATAAAAAATCATTTGACTTTTATTTTGATTCTAAATATAAGACTTAAATTCATTTTGTCTCTTATATTTATCTATTTTTTTTTCAAAGTAGTCCTTATAATTATGATAGTTCTAGCTAAAATACTTACTTAGCAAGGATATTTTAAGAAAGACAACACCTATTTATTACAAATCACTAAACTAATTTTCTTAACATAATTAAATTAGTCAACTAGCTCTTATATTAAAGACCAAACGTAGTATTTAAGTGTTGAAATATTAGACAAATCTTACTAAAGGACTCCAATTTTTTTTTTAAAAAAAGGTCTTTCAAATTATTTTATTAAAATTTAACATAAATTCTTGAAAATTCAATAAGCATTTTATTGCCCAAAATATTATGTAATACTACCTCTGATTTATAAGATCTAATCTACAGATGTGATTATAAATAGGAACGGAGGAATTAGTAATTAGTTACTACATCATTTGCGGTCAAAACTGTGACTGCAGTGCAGAGGAATTCATATACTACCTCTGGTCTTTAATATAAGACCCTGTTTGATTTTTATTTTGATCCTAAATATAAGACCTCAATCCACTTTGTCTCTCATATTTACTCAATTTTTTCCAAGACAATTTACTAATAATTATAGTTCTAGTTAATACACTTGATTAGTAAGGATATTTTAAGAAAGACAACACCTATTTAGGACAAATAACTAACTCAACTTACTTCCTTAATCTCCTCAAATTAGTCAACTGGCTCTTATAATTAGGAGTAAAGGTAGTAGTTTGTTAAATATCTTTGTTTTCGGCCCACTCTTTTTAAGAATCATTAGATTTTCTACTCGCTCTCGATCCCTCTGTGTTACGGTGACACCAAACTGGATTTATACAATCGTAACGTTGTATACAAATACAAAGAGATTAAAATCAACTGGACTATCACCATTGAAAGGCTTTTGATTCACCTATGAACTCCTCCAGAGTCCTCCATATAGTTGTATGAAAATAAATCAAATGAATTTGGCGTCCCTCAAATAGCATTATCATCCAAAAAAGATATTTGCCCAATAAGAAATTTTGGTCGCATAGGTGAGATTTGTGCCTGCAGACATTATCGAAATAGCCTTAGATTAAAAATAAAATAAAATAAAAACCCAAAATTTTGTGCCCATGTTATAAAAGGTTGACACGCGAATGGATGGCAAGCAAAAAAGTAACTACCTCTTATCCTATAATATATGAGTTAAACAAAAAGTTCACTTTCATTTCAATTTACTTTGCTTTCCAAATTTATAATATTTTGTCAAGACTAAAGCATATATTTGATCCTTTAACTTTGAATAAAGTTTCAATTTGGTCTCTTAACTTTAAAAAGTATACTTTTAGTTCTTTAACCCTAAAATTTTTTTTAAAAATGATAACATTAAGATATTAAAATGATAAAATATTCTCAAATACTAACAAATTTAGTTTAATTTTTACAACATTCATGATTGTTATGAAAAATCATCATTAAAGCCTAATAATTTTATGGTTAAAGAACCTAGTGTATGCTTTTTAAAGTTAAGGGATCAAAATAAAACTTTGTATAAAGTTAAAGGACCAAATGTATACTTTAGCCTTTTGTCAAAATATTTTTATTGATTACAGATATTAAAAGCTTATAATTAAGAGAGAGTTTTAATGTACATGATTAAAGAGGGTGACTGACAATGCCTCTGTTGCTATTACTCAATTAAACTAGGACCAACTACAAATGCAATATAGTGGCAACCTAAGCTACTCTCCCAAGCAGTAATTTATGGGTTTTCAATATGACTTTAAGTGACAAAAAATGCAATGCAAAAATCCTAAAATCTATATGAAAGTGAAATTAAACTAAATGCATGCAAACTTAATTTTGGGGGGGTATTTTTAGAAGGAAAATTAAAACGCTAAATAAATAAATTAAGGAAAACGCAAAGAAAATTAAGAACACAAAAATGAGAGGTTTCTTCAAGTATAGTCAAGGGAACAAACTCAAGATTTACATCGAGTTAACTTTCATAGGCCAAATCAATAAATTGGACCAAAGAGAGGTGACGAGAGAATGGAAATAATAAGTTTAATTACTTATTTGAAATATGAAAAGCCAACAAGTTCAAAAATACTTAAACCATTAGAAAACTCAAAATGGTATAAGGGCAGTTGATTAAACTTGTCAAAACAGGTAACAATTAATTCAAATTAATTCTAAAAATTATGTTCATAATTATCTAATTAAACAATTAAATAAATTACCAACTCAATCAAACAATCAAGAGGTAAAGAACCCAAATTTGCAAGTCAAATCATATTGACAATTAAATCCATAATGAGAACTCAATTATAAATTTAATTAACAATGTAAATGTTCATAAACATGAATTCCAGCGAAAATTAAGCACAAAACAAACCCAAATATCAATCTAATTCAAAGACAATCTATAACTAAATTGTCTCATAAAAATACAACTCAAAATTATTTAAAACTAAATAATCTCAAGCTTTTGAGCTAAAACGACAAATGGAATCACTCTCTTATGATCTTCAAGCATTAGCCCAAGACTTTAACTTTCTCCATGCTTCTCTCAAATTGTCTCCCAAGCAAGCTCAAGCTCCCATGAATGGTGTGAAATTGATGGAATAATGAAGGATGAGTGATAAGTGAATAAATAGAATTAAGATTAATATGTAGAGATGGAGGTGACTATCTCTTCTCATGAGATAATGCTTCTTTTTATAGTAGGAGCAAGAATGGACTTTTAGGTGTAAGAGTTAAATCCATTTAAACTTAATCATTAGATTGTACTTGAACTCCAAAAAATAATTCTACACCATTGGATGTTCTCTTTTGCTTTTTCTTGACCTACAAGAATTTAAGTACATCTATTAATATAGATTATATTCAAATATAATATAATCTATATCAAAATTAAAGACCAGATATGGACTGAAAATAAGGTAAGAAGTTGAAAAACTTTTTAAAAATCAACTTTTCAAAAATATGAGAATTGACTTCAAAAAAATAGAAAATATTGAATTCAAGCCAAGAATAAAACATCACACAATATTCATATTTTCAATCTAAAATTCTAATTTTTATGAAAAATCCTAAAATCAATCAATTAATGCAATAACACATAAAAAAAACCACTTAAGGACAAATTTATCATTTAAACCTTGAACACGAGTAGAAAGTTCTTTTTTCACCAGCTGTATAGATATTGATAAAATGCATATAAATGTATGGGCGAAAGGACAAAAATACCCATGAACAATTACCATATGTGCAGCTAGCACCATAAACAAACCGTGGGTCCAAATATGCTCATGATGATTTAAAAGGGCTTTGTTTTACCACAGCCATTAGACTCAGAAAACGTCCGTGGATTTTGAGTTGTGGGTCCTATTTTCCTATCCATGTGTCATCTAGGCTGGCTTGTAACACTGTGTGGTTGAAAGGTTTGACCAAAATGAAAGGGTAATGTGGCAAAGCTGAGTGTACCCATGGCAGGAAGTCATATTATTTTTATTTGACCAGAAGGCATCCACGGGAGGGTTTAGCTTTACCTGCAATGTGTCCCTCCAGCTCGCGGCTTGTGAACTGCACAAATCTATGTTTGATATGAAGTTCACATCGGTCGTCGGCACCTTATGGTACAGTTGCGCCTTGATCTCTGTCGGTTGTTCGTGGAACGCCTTGATGGAGGAGATTGTGCGGTCGAGGACTTCCAAGGGGATGCCGTGGTTGATGATCTGAAAGAAGCCGACTGTGGAGGCGATGGAGAGTATTTGGTCCACAACAGTAGAGCGGTGATCAGGGGAGTCGTTGTTGACAATGTCGCTGAGGTTGATGGTTGGGATTTAGGACTCGCTTCCAGGATTCGTCGAACTCCTTGACCACTTTGGCTCGATCATAAGGCTGAGAAGAATGGCCGCCAGTGGCAGTGATCGGAGATGATGCCGTTGCCATGGAAATTGAAGAAGGTGAAGATACAAGCTTCGCAAAAATTGAAGGTAGGTTGACAATGTCAATGCGGTTTTGGACCGTTGAAGTGATGAACTTGAACAGTGAATTTGTGTATTCAATTAAGAAAAGACAATGAGTTGATTGTATTTTTTTAATAATTAAGAGTATTTTAAGAGTAATTTTTATTGAGTTGGGAGCATAAAAATAATACGACTTCCGTGCCACGCGTACACTCAACTTTGCCACCTTACCCTTTCATTTTGATCAAACCTTTCAACCACACAGTGTTACAAGCCGGCTTGGATGACACATGGATGGGAAAATGGACCCACAGCTCAAAATTGACAAACGTTTTCTAAGTCTAATGACTGTGGTAAAACAGGGCCTTTTGAAATCATCATGAGCATATTTAGACCCACGGTTTGTTTATGGTGCCATCTATACATATGGTAATTGTTCATGGGTATTTATGCCCTTTCGCTCTAAATGTATTACCTCAATCATCAATCATCATCATATCAATATATCAATAAGCTGTCTGTTCATTCCAAACGGCTTATTTTACTGTTCATGGCTACATGTAGATGTATTGCCTTAATCAACACTAGTTGGCCTTTTTTTTGGGGGGGGGGGGTTGGTTTACTCTGTCCATGGTTAATGGGTAGAATACAATTTTTTGTTGTTTGGATGCGCTCTAAACAAGTCGATATGTGTAAAGCATCACTTGCAACCACGTCTACTCAATTTGATCATAGTAATGAATGAATAACTGGCTTCCATTATTGTTGTGAAACATTGTTCTAATTTGTTTAAGCAAATGCTTTTGGTTTCGCGCATAATTCTCAGAGTGAATTGAATGATGGAGTTTGA